TGGTTGATGTTGGTGTGGTGATGATGGTGTTTACCATGAAAATAGGGCTAAATGCAATCGATAATAATGATGAGGATAATAACTAGTGATTATGCAAATTTAGTGATAGTAGTATTACCTGGAGATAACTACATAAAGGAGATAACCTAACAATAATATTAATAATGCTTCTTGTAATGATGATGATGGCGATGGTGATCTAAAATCAAATCACAATAACAAAGCAATGATAAAATGAATAAAATTATAAAATATATAACTCTCACTTTCCATGCTGAAGACAAGCATTCATTTATTCTCCTTAATTCTCTAACATTTCTTTACTCTTCGGGTTTGAATTCCCCCGACTTGTACAAATTATTATTTTTTTATTATTATTTTTTTTACTCCAGCTGAACGTCACCTGAGATCCAAGTTCCCTGAGAATGTGTCTTGATTTGCATTTCCTTTTCCGAAGAACTTTTCCGAGACAAACTGACGGCTGCCTCGTAAAGATGGGGTTTTCTCTCCCTGCCTTCGAATTTCCTGATTTTTTTTTCTTCATTTTTATGCTGTTTGGCGTTGGAAGAGAGAGAGAGGGAGGGAGAGAGTAGGGAGGGAGGGAGGTGAGGGAGGGAGGGGCGAGGGAGGCGAGGGAAGGGAGGAGCGAGAGAGAGAGGAGAGAGAGAAGAGAGGGAGGAGAGACGAGAGAGAGAGAGGAGAGAGAGAGAGGAGGAGAGAAGAGAGAGAGAGAGAGAGGGAGGGGAGAGGAGGAGAAGGGAGAAAGAGAGAGGGAGAGAGAGAGAGAGAGGGAATGAGAGAGAGAGCGGGAGAAGCGAGAGGGGAGGGAGAGGGTGAGAGAGACAGAAGAGAGCGAGGGAGGGAAGAGAGAGAGAGAAGAGAGAAAGAGAGACGAGGAGAGAGAGAGAGAGAGAAGAGAGAGAGAGAGAGAGCGAGAGAGAGAAGCGAGAAAGAGAAGCGAGGAGAGGGAGAGAGAGAGGAGAGAAGAGAGAGAGAGAGAGGAGAGAGCGTCGGAGAGAGTGAAAGAGAGGAGATGGGGAGCGAGGAGTCATTGGAGGTACGCGCGTTGAATTTGCCGCATGCGACAGAGCTTTCAATAGTCGTTACGTAGGAACTCTTATTGAGCGACACATTGTGATCAGATTGTTAGATCAGATGAGATGTATCATGGGGAATTGCGATTCTGATTTGGATTAGTTATATTCGGTAGTGCTTGACTGGATCTGTCCGATAAGGCTCTGAGTAGAGGAGGAGAAGGAGAGTTGATAGGAGGGACACGAGAGGCACACTGTACGCTGATGGGTTATGGGGGGGTGGGGTTGAGGGGTGTGACGCGATGGTGGGACTGGGACATATGAGGTGCTGAGAAGAGGAGGGCGTAGCGTTAGTGGTTTTCGACGCGATGTGTATGGAATGAGTTGAAAGCGCGTCGGTTGGGGCGAGATACAGTTGGAGAGCGGATGCGCGATGGGGATGGACATTGGAGGTTCGGATCTATTGGAGGGTGTGGTGATATGGTGTGGCGTCGTGATGTGGTTTAGGTGCAATCTTACGGTTATTGGGGTGTCGGGCCTTGGCGGGATTATAGATGGTGATGAGATTGGAGTGGTGAAGGTAGAATAGTTGTAGCTGGTGTGGGGGTATACAGAGGTGATGTGGTAGATAGAGAGTGGTGTTTGGAGGTTGGTTGTTAGTGGATGTGGTAGGAGATGTGTTGTCAGAGTTTGTTGTACTGGTAGGTCGATGCAGAGTGCACTTTGGCGCGTGGTAGATTGGGTGGAGTATGGCTGGAGTCGTGAGACTGGGGATGGTAGTTGCAATGAGTCGCGTGTGGGTGTGTGTGTGTGGTGGGTGGTCGTGTGGGAGGTGCAGGTGGGTGTGTAAGAGTGAGATGTAAAGGTTTCGTGGTGAGTCTTGATGCGAGCTGTTGTGGAGTTGTGGCAGCGGTCGTGTATAGGGAGGGTTCGTTCCAGCCACAGAAAATCACTGGGTTTCCTCTGAAACGCATGGGGGAAAGTTCTGAACGTATTATTGTCACATATCCTGCCTCGTGTACTGCTATCCTCTGCGTCGCGTCGGGCATCTATAACCTGCTAGTGAAAAACAAGCTTCGCAGTTCTGACTTGATTTTGCTTTTACCTATTTTAAAAAATAACGCAATAAACCATACCACAGTTCTCTCCGTCTCCTCGGCTGTCTCTTCTTCCTTCGAGGAATTATTCTTTCCTCTCTTTCCTCTTCCTCTTCCTTTTCCCTTTCACTTCGTCCCCTGCGCGCCTCCTCTCCCCCCTCCCCTTCCTCACCCTCCCCATCCTCTTCCCTCCCCTTTTCCAGGTTCTAACGAATATAACCAGTTTCCGACATTCAAAATCCCCTTTTACCTCATCACTTCTATTTTCAGGAGTTATACACCGGGCGTCTCTCTCCTATGACTTCACATTTAGACGTCCTCCAAGCCCCATCGCTCTCCTCTCTCCCTTCTCCGACCCCTCCTCTCTCT